ATGATGATGATGATGATGATGATGATGGTGTCCACGGCTGGACGCGGCTCGACAAACAGATCAGGATGGTGTCAGCAAACGGCCCGGGAGGGGCTTGGCAGACTTCCAGGCGCCGCGAATCAGATAGACAGGGCAGACGCTCCTTGGACGATTCTGGCGTCCCGAGGTCCGCTTCCCAGCCTTTGGGGCCGTACAGTGTGGGAAAACAAAGACGCCTTACAGTCAAAAGCGGCGTTCAGGATGGGCCTTTCTCGCAAGGGCACTTTTCAACCTTCGGTTGTGGCCATCATCAGCACTTTTTTGGCTTCCCAAGTGTTTTCGGCTTGCGGGATCGGCTTGCGGGATTTTTTTTTTTTTTTTTTTTTTTTTTTTTTTTTTTTTTTTTTTTTTTTTTTTTTGTTCCAAGGGTCTTGCACTCGAAACTCCATCCGTATGACTGACTGGTTTTGACTGCGATTCGGTGAGCCAGGAGACGGAGCGGCAACCTCCGACGCCAGGAAGAGGTGGACAGCGGGGCCGCGAGACCTGGGGAGACGTCGTGGCCCCCGCCACGACATCCATCCCCCTTCCTCGACGCTGGACGCCCCCCGCCAGGAGGGGGGGCTGGATCCCCTCCTGGAGGGGGCCGTCCAGCGTCCAGCGACAACCACAGGGGGGCCATGATATCCAGCCCCCATGCGGCAGGTTCGTGTCGTGACGACCCTGGCGTTGGTTTCTGACACCACGTCGATCGTTCAACCTTGAACGATCGGCGGCTTTCCCATCGCCCGAGCGACCCATGTGGGCCGATTCTGGGACACTGGCGGTGCTCAACCCTTGGAACGCCCGCGGCGGGGTCGCCGCCAGGCGACAAGACGCGAACCTACCAGAGTCCCCAGTCATCGCTCCTTCGTGGACGCTCCCGAGACCCGGGCCCTCCCGGGAGTTCCCGACCTCTCTACGCAGAATTGGTTCTGCATCTGCGACGGAACGCCGATACATCGGCGACGGCAGCATGGAAGCAAGCAGGATCCACATCGAGCCGCATCGCCTATGCATCTGGCGATGCGGTACGATGCCCGGACACCATTCGGGAGTCCCTTTTGTCCCCCATGAGCCGCGCACGTGCCTCTGCGAGAACCCCCCCTTGGACGTCCCCTTTCTTGGACGTCCCCCTCTTGGACGTCCTCTTTTTGGACGTCCCCTTCTTGAACGTTTCCCTCTTGAATGTCCCCTTCTTGGACGCCCTGTTTCTTGGACGTCTCCCTCATGGACGTCCCCTTCTTGGACGTCTTCTGTTTTGAACGTCTCCCTCTTGGACGTCCCCCTCTTGGACGCCCCCTTTCTTGGACGTCCCCTTTCTTGGACGTCCCCTTCTTGGACGTCCTCTTCTTGGACGTCCCCCTCTTGGACGCGCCCTTTCTTGGACGCGCCCTTTCTTGGACGTCCCCTTTCTTGGACGTCCCCTTTCTTGGACGTCCCCCTCTTGGACGTCCCCCTCTTGGACGCCCCCTTTCTTGGACGTCCCCTTCTTGGACGTCCCCTTCTTGGACGTCCTCTTCTTGGACGTCCCCTTTCTTGAGCGTCTCCCTCTTGGACGTCCCCTTCTGGGACGTCCCCTTTCTTGGACGTCCCCTCCTTGGACGCCCCCTTTCTTGGACGCCCCCTTTCTTGGACGTCCCCTTCTTGGACGTCCCCGATGGCGGCGTCGGAGGTCTGGGGTCTAAGGGAGGGCTTCTTCGGAGCTTCTCCCGGGCGAGTAGCGCCTCGACGGGGAGGCCGGAACCAGCCTGGACCGCTGCCCCGGGGCCCCGGGCCCTAGCCGTGGCCAGAGGTCGGGCTCTCGCCTCTTCTCGTCCTGCTCCACCCCCCCCCCTTGCGCTCGCGCTGCCTGGCCCGTGCAGGTGGTCGCCTGAGGTGTCCACCTGCGCAGGCGGATCCTGGAGGCCACGGTGTGCTGTCGGTTGGGCTGGAAGGCCGCATTGGATGTGGCGGATTCTCGGGACGTCCGCTCCGGGCCGCCCCCCGAGAGGCGGTGGGGGGCGCCATTTCCGCGGCCAGCAGGGGGGGGGGAGGGGGAGGGGGGGGGGGGACGTGGAGGACGAGGAGGCGGAGGGGGGTGCTGATCTTGCTCGCGTCCTCTTGGGGGCCTCGCCGTTGTGCCCTCGCCCTCCGCCGCCCTGGCCGTTGCCGCCGCCGCCGCCGCCGCCCCAGGCGCCGCGGACGCCTCGCCCCGGGCGGCACCGCTGCCGCCGCCCGCGGCGGGCGGCGCGGGCGGCGCGGCCCCCCGCGCCCCCGCGAGGGGAGTGGGGCGGGCCTCCGCACCGCCGCCGCCGCCGCCGCCCGCCGCGCCGCCGCCCGCCGCCCGGCCGCCGTCGTCGTCGTCGTCGTCGCGCGTGGCGGCAGTCGTCTCGGCGTAGTCCTCTCGTCGTCGTCGTCGCCGGCGCGGTCGTCGTCGTCGTCGTCGTCGTCGTCCGTCGGTCGTCGTCGTCGTCGTCGTGGCGCGAGTAAGACGGCGAATCGACGCGGATCATGGCGTGGGGCCGCGGGCTGGGCCCTGGCTCGTGTGGCACGCCGCGCCTCCAGGTCCCCTCGCCTCTCGTCACCCCTTCGACCTCTCCCTCCTCCTCCGCACTCCCTTCTCCTCCCCTCTCCGCCTCCTCCTCCTCCTCTCCTCCTCCCCCTCCTCCCCCCCTCCCCTCCTCCCTCCTTCCTCCTCTCCTCCATCCTCCTCCTCCTCCTCCTCCCCCCTCCTCCTTCTCCTCCCTCCTTCCGCTCTCCTCCTCCTCTCCTCCTCCTCCTCCTCCTCCTCCCCTCTCTCCTCCTCCCTCCTTCCTCCTTACTCCTCCTCCTCCTCCTCCTCCTCCTCCTCTCCTCCTCCTCCTCCTCCCCGTCCCCCTCCTCCCCTCCCCTCCTCCTCCCCTCCCACTCCTCCTCCTCCTCTTCTCCTCCTCCTCCTCCTCCTCCTCCTCCTCCTCCTCCTCCTCCCCCCGCCCCACGCGCGAGGAGGATGCGCCGCTGCCCCTCTGCGTCCCAGGCGAGCCGCGGCCGGCGCCGCCGGGCAGGCTCCAGCGCGCGGCCACGACGGCGGGGCGGGGCGGCCCCGAAGGGCCGACGGCGACGACGCCGACGACGTCGGGGATCCGTCGGCGCGAGGCCGCGGCGGAGGGGCGGCAGCTTGGGCCGACGGCGCCGGCACGGCACCATCGACGTCGACATCGACAGCGATGGTGCCGTCGCCATCACGGAGCGCGAAAGGGAGGGGTGGGGGGGTGGCCTCCGATAGGGCGGAACAGAAAACAGGGGGGGGGTGGCTTCCGTCACGGCTGGTCCAAGGGGGGGGTAGCTAAGGGGGACCCCCCCCTGGGAGTCTGCCACGGGCGCGCTCTCACTCAGCCTCGGTTGCATGGCAGAGTACGGCGAGGAGACATCGGTGTGATCAAGGTATGGACTCAGGAGAAGACCTTGCCGATGCTTCCACGAAAACACGTGAGCAGGGACAGCATGTCCATGCGCATGCGAGGTACAGCTGATGTTCTAGGCAATGGGGAACACGAGCAGGTGCCCGCCAGGGATACCAGCTTCATTCGTCTCCAGGTTATCATCGCGTGCCGCTCTGCCGGAGACTTGAGCTTTGGATCAGATGAGATCCAGGTGCTCGTCTACGCGTTGCAACATTTCAACGATTGAGGAGGTTCATCGTCTTGCATGGCGTGGTGTTTGGAAGTGCTCGAGCGCCGCGTGTTAGGAGGCCCGTTTGCGTGTACGCCCAAAGCATAGTTGCCTTCCGAGTGCATCAGTTATGCTTTCAGTCGATCTTATTATTAGTATTATTATCATCATTATTATGATTGTTATTATCATCATTATTATTATTACCATTATTATTATTAGTATTATTATTTTTACTATTATTATTATTATTATCATTATTATTGATACATATATATACACATATACATATATATATATATATCGCTTACTTGGCCAGGATGGAATCCTGGCTTCACGGCGCTGCCCGCCTGCTTCGCACTCACCTGCTTTCCTGGCGCTCTTGCTGCTGTACTTCGCCTGCTTCCCCATGCGGCTCATCTTTGCAGGCCTAGAGGTTGACACCAACACCAAGATCGGCGGTGTGCCTCCACCGAGGGAAGACGATCCCGGTCTCGGTGATGGTGGTAATATTCTGGCTTCCAAGGTGACCGAAATCTGACCACCAATACCGAAATCTAAGATCTTTTTCCCAACCATCCTGTGGTGTTGGGTCTTCGTTTTGAAGAGACGTCGCCCCGCGTTCCTTCCTCCTCCTCCTTCCTCCTCCTCCCCTTCCTCTCCCCTCCTCCCCCTCCCACACCCATTCTGGCACACCCCTCACACGTTTCGTGGCCCCATAGGGAGCTCCACCGAAGGCCCCAGTGGCTGCGCCCGCATGCGGTTCCACCCCCCATTCTGGCACACCCCTCACACGTTTCGTGGCCCCATAGGGAGCTCCACCGAAGGCCCCAGTGGCTGCGCCCGCATGCGGTTCCACCCCCCATTCTGGCACACCCCTCACACGTTTCGTGGCCCCATAGGGAGCTCCACCGAAGGCCCCAGTGGCTGCGCCGCATGCGGTTCCACCCCCCATTGCACACCCCTCGCACGTTTCGTGGCCCCATCTCCACCGAAGTCCCCAGTGGCTGCGCCATGCACCCCCCATTCCACCTCACACGTTTCGTGGCCCCATAGGGAGCTCCACCGAAGGCCCCAGTGGCTGCGCCCGCATGCGGTTCCACCCCCCATTCTGGCACACCCCTCACACGTTTCGTGGCCCCATAGGGAGCTCCACCGAAGGCCCCAGTGGCTGCGCCCGCATGCGGTTCCACCCCCCATTCTGGCACACCCCTCACACGTTTCGTGGCCCCATAGGGAGCTCCACCGAAGGCCCCAGTGGCTGCGCCCGCATGCGGTTCCACCCCCCATTCTGGCACACCCCTCACACGTTTCGTGGCCCCATAGGGAGCTCCACCGAAGGCCCCAGT